CTTATTCAGGTGTTACGTGTTGGTTGCTTTTTAGGCTGGTTGTAGTGTTAGATAGGGTGGGGGTGGGGTGGGGGGGGGGGATTAGTATAGGAAGAATTAATGTAGGCGATTTGGTTTGAAGCTGTTTACAAGGATACGGGTGAAAGATTTGAACCCGGTTTAGTCCAAACGCCGGATGAGATCGCCTGCACTACACCACTATAGTTATAATTGTTTAGTTAAACTTTTATATATTATTATTATTCTTTATTTATTTTATTTATATATATATATATATATTTTTGCAAGTGTTGGCTTAAAACCAGTTTGATCATATTTTAATTTTGTTCGTCTTTTTTCTTTGAAGTATTTTATGATTTGATATTTCACATTGATCAAATTTTAAACTTTCATTTTAACAAATACAATTAATCAAGGGGTCCGATTGTTGTGTGTTAAGGGTCTGTAACTGTCCTATCCTCGATGTGATATACAACTATCTTACATTGTAAGAAACGTTATATCTCTGAAAACGAACGTGGGGTAGGATAAGGGTTTGTAGAGCGTTGGGTTGGGTTGTCCGGATGTATGTCTGTGCGTGTGTGTGTGTGTGGGGGGGGGGGGTGGTTATGTAAATGGGTCGTTGTATTGTTTTTTTTAAAATTTGTTTTGTTTTCTGTTATATCATAACTGGTGTTGTGTGTCAAAGAGGTGGCTCATATCAAATTGGTCGCTCATGCTAATAATGATGTTTCTTGTCTATGCGGTGTTTCATGTCCATTTGTCGAAGTGGTGTTTCACCTCAGAAAGGTGTTTCATTTTAAACTTGTGTTTCATTTCAAAACGGTGTTTCAACTCATGCAGGTGTTTCATTTTAAACTTGTGTTTCATTTCAAAACGGTGTTTCAACTCATGCAGGTGTTTCATTTTAAACTTGAGTTTCATTTCAAAATAGTGTTTCAACTCATAAAGGTGTTTCATTTTAAACTTGTGTTTCATTTCAAAACGGTGTTTCAACTCATAGAATTGTTTCATTTAAAACGTATGCTTCATCTCAAAAGATGTTTCAAAATCCGTTTCTGGCTAAAACAGAAACAATTCCACCTGTGTCTCAAACCCAATCGATCCCCGATGCCTTAATCTTATCGTACTAAACAACGGCCGTCTAGCCTCGCCTTGGGAACTCCCGGGCTTTCAAGACAACAATGAGTACTCGTATCTCACGGGTAGTAATTAACTAGTTTTTAATTACCTGCCACCGTCGTTGGTTAGACCGACGGGTCCCTAGACTAGACGTTCCCGTGGCCGTATAATCAGGACCGATGTCTCCAGCGCGGGATGTACTTTGTGGAGAACAAGCTTTATCTGGAAGCGTTGACTGTTTCCGGCGGCTGTTTGATGTGTTGAGGCAAGAAATTAACCCTTGCACGGGTGATATTTTGTTCCTATCAAAAGAAATTAACCCTTGCACGTCGGATATATTTTTTTTTCTTGTTATAAGAAATTAACCCTTGCACGACTGTTATCTTTTTTTTGTCAAAAGATATTAACCCTTGAACGGCTGATATCTTTTTTTTCTTGTCATTTTGTTTGATTCCGTACGCAAGGCGGCATCAGCGGCCTCTGTGATTAGTTTAATTAATCCAGTGATGGGTGATTAGCCCAGGCAATGTGGCCAGATATTTTATGACAACGAGGGAGTTACTGTAAGGCCAGGTATAAAACCACGACCAAATTTGACACATTCTCAACAAGCCTTAAATTTCCTACAATCATCTTCCAATAGAGTGGGGTTGTAATATGGGAAGATGTATGACTGATATAGTAACTAAAGTATAGTTCACTTTTCAAACCTGACGGTCCATGGAGACAAGTGCAGTAGAGTTCAGCACTAAGCCCACCCGAATTTACATTTTCCTAACGTGAGTTAGGTACTCATCACAGCTGGGCGGAGTTAGGGACATTCTACTTACTTCAACGCAGATTCGAACTCGAGACTTTCGGGTTATCAGTCTAGCGCTCTATCTCTTGGCCACGTTTAACCCTTACAAGCAATAATCAGTGTTCCTTCCAGACTTTTTTCGGGTGGACGGGGGGCGGACACTAGTTAGTATATGTTTAGTATATAAATTCCATCTCGTTCGGGGGGTGGGGGGGGGGGGGGGTGGCGGGTCGGTAGACTTTCTTCGCCCCCCCTCATTTGGGGTAGAGGGAGAGAGAAGATTCCTTGCTGATCTATGGGCTAGAACTTAACCCTCGAAAGACTGACCTAGACCAGAAATGAACCATTCTCCGAGGATGAAATACAGCGAACAATTTAACCCTTGTATGATCGACAGCGAACCTCCAACACGTCAGTGCAGATCTCGCAGTTATTGTTGCAGTCATTATAAATATCTGGCTATGGTTTGGTTTGTGCTTGTTTGTCGTATGCAGTGAAGTGTACTCGAGATTGAAGTAACTTCATTCACACAACCCAGTGGTGTATTTACCATAAACAAAGAGTTCGTTGTACAGATTAGACTATAGACTTGGCTGAACAAAATGTCTCTCATATTGAACAGTTAGATTGTATAGCGGGGAGGTAAGCATTTCTTGACTAGAGTGGATCTCAATGTTGTGGTTGTGAATTACGTTTTTGGTGTTATGCTGCGGGGCTCAAATCTTAAACCCAGCTCGTTCAGATGTAGCTGCGTTAAATTGTTACTTTTCTGCTTTGGATTATCAGTTACGAGCCGACCCGCGGCGTATCACTAGCCGCTATTTAGTTTTATTTTCTACTTTTCAGTAATTCATAATTTGTGAATTCGACAGTACCAATGCTGTCACTGAAAATATTTGCTTTAAAACACTAAAACCCTCCTTTCCCCACAACCCCCCCCCCCTCCTCGTGAAAGCAGCCTCCTTATAGTTAACTCCCCTAAGTTTAAAATTGTTTCAAACTAAATCATCTGCCCCTAATAGGCGTCACTAAACCCTGCTCTACGATTGTAAACATTTAGCGTGAACCACAGCTCACCAGACCATGTGGGGGTGGGGGTGGTTGCGATATGCCTAGAGAGGAAGAGAGGGGACTGCTAAATAAAGGAAGTTCTACTGGTTTGAAACCGGGATCCGAACTCGAGATTTTCAGATTAGCAGTCGACCTATCTACATTTCGACAACACCGTCCCAGTTAATGTTTATGGAGAACGAAGTTCACTTTTACTCACAACAGTCGCATGAAGCCAAACCACCTCAACATAGCATTAGCAAGACTTAATGGGAATTAAAAAAAAAATGAGAAATAAAAAGCCCAACAAAATGGAACCATTATCATACATATAGTGCTAACATAAACTCCGAGCAGTGTGACTGTGAACGTGTCTCGTTATTTCCCCATGATCCGAGAATCTGAGATCGAATCGCGGATAAAAACATCTGTCACATCAGGAAAACACATCCAGAAAACATAGACCCTAACCCGGACCTAATCCAAAATATAACGGATTATAGACAGGATCACATCACTAAGTCAACAAGCCTACCACATAATCTCGAAGATTTACATCCACTATTTTTACACAAAGATTTTAATGTTTTATCAAAGTATCGTTGTATCTATTTTCGGCCAAAATCATAAATGTCAAATTCTTCATTCTGTCTTTGTTTTCGCGAAATGCTCATTCGCCAGGGTGTCTATTTTATTTTTTATTCTTCCCCCAGCCCAACAACACAAACCATGTCTCCACACCTCACTCTCGTATCTCCCCACCTCACTCTCGTATCTCCCCACCTCACTCTCGTATCTCTCCACCTCAGTCTCGTATCTCTCCACCTCACTCTCGTATCTCCCCACCTCACTCTCGTATCTCTCCACCTCAGTCTCGTATCTCTCCACCTCACTCTCGTATCTCCCCACCTCACTCTCGTATCTCTCCACCTCAGTCTCGTATCTCTCCACCTCAGTCTCGCATCTCTCCACCTCAGTCGTGTATCTCTCCACCTCAGTCGTGTATCTCTCCACCGTGTATCTCTCCACCTCAGTCGTGTATCTCTCCACCGTGTATCTCTCCACCTCAGTCGTGTATCTCTCCACCGTGTATCTCTCCACCTCAGTCGTGTATCTCTCCACCGTGTATCTCTCCACCTCAGTCGTGTATCTCTCCACCGTATATCTCTCCACCGTGTATCTCTCCACCGTGTATCTCTCCACCTCAGTCGTGTATCTCTCCACCGTGTATCTCTCCACCTCAGTCGTGTATCTCTCCACCTCAGTCGTGTATCTCTCCACCGTGTATCTCTCCACCTCAGTCGTGTATCTCTCCACCGTGTATCTCTCCACCTCAGTCGTGTATCTCTCCACCGTGTATCTCTCCACCTCAGTCGTGTATCTCTCCACCGTATATCTCTCCACCGTGTATCTCTCCACCGTGTATCTCTCCACCTCAGTCGTGTATCTCTCCACCGTGTATCTCTCCACCTCAGTCGTGTATCTCTCCACCTCAGTCGTGTATCTCTCCACCGTGTATCTCTCCACCTCAGTCGTGTATCTCTCCACCGTGTATCTCTCCACCTCAGTCGTGTATCTCTCCACCGTGTATCTCTCCACCTCAGTCGTGTATCTCTCCACCGTGTATCTCTCCACCTCAGTCGTGTATCTCTCCACCGTGTATCTCTCCACCGTGTATCTCTCCACCGTGTATCTCTCCACCTCAGTCGTGTATCTCTCCACCGTGTATCTCTCCACCTCAGTCGTGTATCTCTCCACCGTGTATCTCTCCACCGTGTATCTCTCCACCTCAGTCGTGTATCTCTCCACCGTGTATCTCTCCACCTCAGTCGTGTATCTCTCCACCGTGTATCTCTCCACCGTGTATCTCTCCACCTCAGTCGTGTATCTCTCCACCGTGTATCTCTCCACCTCAGTCGTGTATCTCTCCACCGTGTATCTCTCCAAAGTGTATCTCTCCACCGTGTATCTCTCCACCGTGTATTTCTCCATCGTGTACCTCTCCACCTCAGTCGTATACCTCTCCACCTCAGTCACGTATCTCTCCACCTCTGTACCTCTCCACCTCTGTACCTCTCCACCTCTCCACCTCTCCACCTCTGTATCTCTCCACCTCTGTACCTCTCCACCTCTCCACTGTATCTCTCCACCTCTCCCCCTCTGTACCTCTCCACCTCTGTACCTCTCCACCTTGTACCTCTCCACCTCTGTAGCTCTCCACCTCTGTAGCTCTCCACCTCTCCACCTCTCCACCTCTGTACCTCTCCACCTCTGTACCTCTCCCTCTCCACCTCTGTACCTCTCCACCTCTGTACCTCTCCACCTCTGTACCTCTCCACCTCTGTACCTCTCCACCTCTGTACCTCTGTACCTCTCCACCTCTCCACCTCTGTACCTCTCCACCTCTGTACCTCTCCACCTCTCCACCTCTCCACCTCTGTACCTCTCCACCTCTGTATCTCTCTACCTCTCCACCTCTGTACCTCTCTTCCTCTGTACCTCTCCACCTCTGTACCTCTCCATCTCTCCACCTCTGTACCTCTCCACCTCTGTATCTCTGTACCTCTCCACCTCTGTACCTCTCTTCCTCTGTACCTCTCCACCTCTGTACCTCTCCACCTCTCCACCTCTGTACCTCTCCACCTCTGTACCTCTGTACCTCTACACCTCTCCACCTCTGTACCTCTCCACCTCTGTACCTCTCCACCTCTCCACCTCTCCACCTCTCCACCTTTGTACCTCTCCACCTCTGTACCTCTCTTCCTCTGTACCTCTCGACCTCTGTACCTCTCCACCTCTCCACCTCTGTACCTCTCCACCTCTCCACCTCTGTAGCTCTCCACCTCTGTAGCTCTCCACCTCTGTAGCTCTCCACCTCTCCACCTCTGTACCTCTCCACCTCTGTACCTCTCCACCTCTGTACCTCTGTACCTCTCCACCTCTCCACCTCTGTACCTCTCCACCTCTCCACCTCTGTACCTCTGTACCTCTCCACCTCTCCACCTCTGTACCTCTGTAGCTCTCCACCTCTCCACCTCTGTACCTCTCCACCTCTGTACCTCTCCACCTCTCCACCTCTGTACCTCTGTACCTCTCCACCTCTCCACCTCTGTACCTCTCCACCTCTCCACCTCTGTACCTCTGTACCTCTCCACCTCTCCACCTCTGAACCTCTGTACCTCTGTATCTCTCTACCTCTCCACCTCTCCACCTCTGTACCTCTCCACCTCTGTACCTCTCCACCTCTCCACCTCTGTACCTCTCCACCTCCCTACCTCTCCACCTCTCCACCTCTGTAGCTCTCCACCTCTGTACCTCTCCACCTCTCTACCTCTCCACCTCTCCACCTCTGTACCTCTCCACCTCTGTACCTCTCCACCTCTCTACCTCTCTACCTCTGTACCTCTCCACCTCTCCACCTCTCTACCTCTCCACCTCTCCACCTCTCCACCTCTCCACCTCTCCACCTCTGTACCTCTCCACCTCTGTATCTCTCTACCTCTCCACCTCTGTACCTCTCTTCCTCTGTACCTCTCCACCTCTGTACATCTCCACCTCTCTACCTATGTACCTCTCCACCTCTGTACCTCTCCACCTCTCCACCTCTGTACCTCTCCACCTCTGTACCTCTCTACCTCTCCACCTCTGTACCTCTCTACCTCTGTACCTCTCCACCTCTGTACCTCTCCACCTCTCTACCTCTGTACCTCTCCACCTCTCCACCTCTGTACCTCTCCACCTCTGTACCTCTCTACCTCTCCACCTCTGTACCTCTCTACCTCTGTACCTCTCCACCTCTGTACCTCTCCACCTCTCTACCTCTGTACCTCTCCACCTCTCCACCTCTCCACCTCTCTACCTCTGTACCTCTCCACCTCTGTACCTCTCCACCTCTCCACCTCTGTATCTCTCCACTTCCCGTACGTCAACCACACACGGTCCTGATCCCCCAAACCCTGACAGCCGTCCCTGACTTTTTGACCCCGCCTGCACTTTATCATCTGGCATACCTGCACTGCATAGTAACCTGGTCGTCGCCCCTCCCCCCTCCTGTCGTCTCAAGTTCGAACCTCGTCTGACAACCCCCCGGGCTTGTAGCAACCAGCTCCCCTTAAAATGCGACTGTCGTCCTTACTTCGTATCTCCCTCCCCCTCCGCCTTCTTATTCAATAATGTCCTATAACACTCGCATGCCTTTTGATAAAAAATCTCGCTACACCCTTACCATATCCATATTCGATATTTTTACAATCAACATCACAACTTAAAAAAACCCATTATGACTCTCAACTCCACTTCCACACCCCACCCCACACCAACCAGCCTTTATTTTACAAAAAACACACATCACCCCCCCCCCTCCTCTCTCACACTACTCTGTCTTTATTCAACACCCCCCCCTCCCCACCTCCAAACTATCTTAACTCAATATTTGGCTAGCCCCCATAAATAACTCAACCCTCGACGAACCCTTATCATAGGTTTCTCCTCCCTCGTCTTACGGCCCAGCGACACGGGCTCGGGGACAGGGAGGTGCATATTTTATAAAACAACATGGAAGCTCCTTCAATCAGCCATAAATCCATTCCCCGCGCTGCCCCGGGCTATAGAAACATATGCCAGAGACTCGTAAATTTCCAATTTTTTATTTTATTTTAGCCTCCACACACTGTCAGCAACACATGCACCGTAACACCGTCGGTCTTATTGTTATCGGCGTTGGCCCCGATAGAGTACAGATTTATCATTGCTCGTGTGGCTGTGATCTCTTCCTCTCCCGTGATTAATACGTATGTCCACAGAGGTTCCTTCAGGCACCTCGCCGCCTGGGGGTAGGGGGGGGGGGGGGTAGGGGAGAGGGGGAGCTAACTTCCTTAGAGCATTTCAACCGCGTCCTTTTTAAAAAAAAAAAGCAGGCTGAAATCGGAGTCACACAACCAATTAAGTCAAATTTAATGTCATGTTGCATTGCCGCCAACGTTGAAACAAATCTGTCAGTTAGAAGTGTCCGAAATTTCGCTCGGGCGTTTCGATTTAGACTGACGTCAGACTGACGACAGAAACAGTGAGTTAAATAAAAGCTTGTAGTATCGAAAGTTTCAGAACTTTCTCATAGTCGGATTTTCAAATATTTAACAGTAAAACCACCTTCAAAATAAACCTTATTATTTAAAAAAAAAAAAAAAAAAAAATAAAAAACAAGCTTCAGGATTATTCTCAAACCCCACACTCTTTCAACTACATTTTTTATCAAAACAATTTACAAAAAGCAATTTTTTTTTTAAATTCCCCTTTTTGTGGATGTTTTTATAACACAGCTAAATTAGAACTCGAGATTAACAGATGTCCCCCTTTAATAAATGAAAAATAGTAATTCACCCCTCTACCCTCCCTCCCCCAAAACACGTTCGAGAGATCCTAATTTCGATAGTCAGCACTCGGTAACCGAACACTTCCTAATGGGAGACAATCAACGATGATTGCAGATTGTTGCCGTGAGTCACTTCCCTTGTTAACTTTACAATTTAGAAATTGTATTTCTAAAAAAAAAAACCTGACCTAATTCTTTGTCATTTTGAAAGAAATTGTGACTTTAGAAACTTATAAAAATGTAGTTAAAATATTCAGACAGAGTTTCAAAGTTTTACTTTCTTAGTTTGGTCGGTGACTTCACCAATTATATAGGGGATGTTAATGAAATAATGTTTCCCTTTGTCATTAATAGGGGTCGTCTTATGGCTACTAAACCGAAAAGTCTCGAGTTCGAACCCAACGGCCTATATTATGGCGCATTACCTTTTCACACGTAATACTTAATTGTGTTGGATGGAATTCTTTTCAACACAAAAATTTAGAACGAAGAAGAAAGTCAATAAATGTTACTGGTTTATCGGCAAAGAAATAAAAGACAATATTCCAAGAATGTTGAGATAATTAAGATTCATACGATTCATTTTTTTAGTAAGTAGGCACTACGTTATATATATTAATGTCGGCATTGACTTCGAGAGTGTATATTTATAGTTATAAACATAGAAATGTTTAAGCTTAACTACCTTGTACATTTACACATACATATACACACACACACACACAGACACACACACACACACACATATATATATATATATATATATATATATATATATATATATATATATATATGTATACGTATATATATATATATATACACACACACACACACATATATATATATATATATATATATATATATATATATATATATATATATATATATATATATATATGTGTGTGTAATGTAAATTTGACATCATTTACTGCCAACTCTGGGCAAACTTGAAGAAGAGAAAAAAAAAAAGAAAAACAAAAAAAAATGGCCTTGACAAGGGCTGACAAGGCGAAAACCCCGACAAGATTTATTGTCATGTGTGTACATCACTGTATAATGTCACCCTTTAAAAAACACTAAGACAGGTCTGTGTTCTGATAGAAAGAATAAACAATTGGGTAACAGATTCAGGCTATCTTGTCCATAAGACGGACGGGTTTCTTTACTTAGTACACACTTGATGAAATTGCTGACTACACATATTGGATGACGTCACGATTGTTTACGTGTGTATTTTTTAGTGGGTTACGTCGTATTGAAGCGATTTTGTAAACAAGTTTAAACATCTATGAAAATAACAGGTGTTTTCGCTTTCATTCCTAGCATCGTAGCCAAATAAATTAAAATATTATGGTATGCAAGAGGCTAACCTAATTACTGGTTTTCATGAAAGCGGTTCTTTGGTGTTTGAATTATTATTAAAAACGCGTAAATTAGAGTGGCTTTTGCGTGCCGCTTAGAATATTGTGTTGGTGTGTTGTTTCGTTGATACAGAAACTTAGCGTTGAATTTTAAATTCTAGCTTAAATATTAAATAAAGAACACGCAAGTTAATGATAAAAACTTAATTCTATCCATTCTATTTTATTTTTCTTTCCGCCCTTTTTTTTTATAACTAATATATGCACTTGAAATATCAAAAACAAACTTTAATTTTAAAATTGGAATTTATCCTGAAGTTAAAAAACGAATTAAAATTGTTTGTTCGGAGTTTGGTCCACAGGCGTAGCGACCCTACCCGTCGCCCGGGGATAAACTTTCGATTTGCACCCCCCCCCTCGAACTTTTCATTTGCACCCCCCTCAAACTTTCGATTTGCACCCCTCTCGAACTTTTCATTTACACCCCCCCTCAAACTTTCAATTTGGCACCCCCCAAGGTCAGCGCCCGGGGACATATGTCTTCCCCCCGCCCCCTCGCTACGCCTCTGGTTTGGTCCCAGGTCGTTGACGCTAAGAGTCAGATCAGTGCGTCATAAGATAGTCCTAGCGTCAGGACATTGTGCGTCAGATTCACGTCCATACATCTAGTTCCTTAAAACCTAATATGATACAATGTTCGCTCTAAACTGTTACCCTTCATGAAATAGATTGCTCATTATTTTGTAACTTCCAAGTTACCTTGAGTAGGTAATTTCAGAGCCCAAAGCGCACAAGATAGATTCTATTTTTTGCATCACATTTGTGCACGTTAGAGGGAATGTTGCGCAAAGAATATGATCTGTTAGGGAATGTTAAAGGGAAGTTGAGCGACAAGTGCTAATTTGATCTATAAGGAAAAGTTGATCATAGAGTACTTAAGGGAATGTTTCGCGGCAATTACTACATTTGTAGAAAATGATCTACAAGGAAATGTTACACAGTCTTGCTCAAGGGAATGTTGCGCGTCGAGTGTTAAATCTCTTAGAATATGATCCACATATCCACATATCCACAGATCCTCTTGACTTACAAAGAAAACCTCACTTAAGAAAGGTTTTTTTTTTTCGTGTAGCGGTGTAACAAAATCTTACAAATCCGTCTTCAGCCCGACATGTTTTTCTTAGTGCCTGGAATAATAAGTAGCTTATAAATTATTCCGTTTTGAAAACAGAATAATTTACGTCCCGTTCTCTTCGTAGAGTAGATATAATAAGTCTCATAAAACCGACATGTACACTTACTAGCAGTTCTTAATAAATTAGCCTAACCCATTTTAATTAGTTTCGTGATTCTAACTCTAGCCCGAACCTAACTAAACCCTAACGCTAATTTCTGTACATGACCGTAACCCTTAACCTAGCCATAGCCCTAGCCATAAAACATGCTCCCTTAAAAGCTATTGTCGGTAAATTTAAAAAGTACTACTTGATACTTCATCGATTAGGCTTAATTATAATTATTATAATCTAATTTTTTTTTTAAATTCTCATTAACATGCAAGCGCTTATGCATGTGCAATGTATTCGTGTATAATCTACCTGCATAGAACGTCAGATACAATCTCTACCTGTTACTTAAATAAACTTTGATACCATATTTTGAGATCCGCTGCCAAAGTTTCTTCTCAACTCCCAATCCCCCCCCCCCAATAAAAACAAACATCCCCACTTCCTCACTATAACACCCCGAAACCAGTTACTCAAAGCAACTTTGATACCATATTTTGAGATCCGCTGCCAAAGTTTTCTTTTAACCCCCCCCCGTCCCCCGAAATCCACAAACATCCCCACCCCCCACACTATCACACTCCCACCCCCCCCCCCTTCACACACACACACTATCACACTCCCACCCACCTATCGTTATCGCTGCTCATTGACCACGGACAATACAAAACGGTTTTGATTTCAAGTTTGCGCGGATTTGCGTTCGCCAGCTCGACAGCGTTTTCAAAACAGTGCCCCCCACCCCTCCCCCACTTCCACCCTCTAGAGGCGCAGGGGCCCTGATGAGCCGGCGCTGGTAACATTGTTTCCATAACTCGGGTCTCCGCTGACAACAAACCCGTAGAGCGGGGCACGTCACCGGAACTAATGCAGCCTGCTGGGGGTCCTAGCAGTGTTGTGAAGGCGGAATGTAACACAAATCAGCAGAGAGCTGCGGAATCGGACGGACGTGTCGGGGCGGCTGGAATTGTGCGAGACGGAACGGAAACG